TATTCAGGAAGAATTCATGGCAGCAGCATTAGTTAGTTGTGATCTTCATAGGCAAGAAGCGCTCGGTTATCACCGAGCAGAGGTAAAGTGTCAGGAAAGAGCTGAGCTCCTGTTTCCGAACCGGCCTGGTGCCTCTGCAGCTTTGCGCATCTCAGATCTCACAATCACTCTTCTCTTCCCTTCGCTCCCGTAAATACATTCGAAAATGACGTACTAGAGATTGTGTATTTTAAGCTTTTCCTCTTGTTTGGAAGCTGCTGTTGCTAGGCCATCATTTATATTACATTTTATTTAGATGGATGTTAGGATGTGATTGGATAGTCTAATAGGCTCATCCCATTAGGCGCAGTTTGGATCGTGCATGACCTAATTTCAGTTATCTGGCAATTGCTGCACAAAGTGAAAATGTTTGCTTTCATTTGGAAGTTCAGCAGAAATGTGAACCTGTGTGCGTTTATAATGCAAATAAACGCTGAAGGAAAGCACAAAAAGCAATGCAGTTTATCTTACTGAGGGCTACCTTCCACTTACTTTTATACTTACGGGCACATTAAGGGGCAGGGAAAAGCTTTGTTAGTGAACACATACTTGTAGACCATTTAAAATAATAGCAATCGCCTTTATATTATTTTATAGTGAATTTCAGTAGCTCCTGTGTAACTTTTTATACAGCAAAAGTCTCAAATCTTTCCACAACTCAAGGTATTTTAATTTTCATACATGCTGTCTACTAACCACACAGATTGTAAGGAAGGTGAAATATATTTACTCTCTTCCAGCCAAACTGTTCTATAACATTCCATGAAACAACTATTATCTAGAAGTAGATTTTATTCATGATTAATAAACAAAATAATAATCTTAAAATGCTGTCCATTAGTCTAGTCTTAACACATTTCTATGCTTTCATTTTTATGGGAGAGTTTTAATACTATATTATTTCCTACTACACTACTACTCTTTCCTCAATCTGAAAGCATTTTCCCTGTGCCCCTGCAGGTATGATTTCCTGGGGGAATTTAGTGTTTTCAGCTTCCATTGACTTCCACTGGAATCACAAGTGCTCATCTGTTGTAAAAACTAGGTTCATTTTACATGGGTTTTGGTAACTTAGAGATGCAGCTTTCTCAAAGAGTGGCCAGGAATATCCTCAGAATTGAGTCCAGTCCAGACTGCAAACGTTCTTTATTTTAGCCTTGGCAGTTTCCATTTCTGGAGAAGACCTAAGTGCCTCTGCTCTGAGTACAAAGTTGGTTATCATAAATTGCATTTGTCCGTTTTTATGTTTGTCCTGAAACTAATAATCTTGGTATTATCTAAATTTGGCTTTGTTCTCTTACTTAACATTTCAACAAAGTAAGCTGCAGAAGAGCTCTGGCTTAGTAAGATCAGTTGGCCTGTGTGCAACCTCCTCTATTTGGTAAACTTTTAGTGCTTGCGTTTCAGTTCTTCTTTTTAATTCTAGATCCCCTTTCTCTGATGCAAGACAAAGTTACCAAAGATCCAGGAAATGGTATCAGATTGTCCTGTAGCTAGTCCTACAACTCAGTAAAACACTTTTTGATTTATTGCCTCCCCGCCGCCATAACATAGCATCATAGAATCGCAGAATCATAGAATGCTTAAGGTTGGAAGGGACCTCTAGAGATCATCTAGTCCAACCCCCCTGCATACACAGGGTCCCCTAGAGCTCATGGCACAGGACTGTGTCCAAGCGGGTTTTGAAGATCTCCAGAGAAGGAGACTCCACAACCTCTCTGGGCAGCCTGTTCCAGTGCTCCATCACCCTCACTGTCAAGAAATTTTCCTTAAGTTCCTGTGGAAGTTCTGGTGCTTCAGTTTGTGGCCATTTCCTCTAGTTCTATCGTCCACCAGTGAAAAGAGGTGGCCCCATTCTCCTCACTGCCTCCCTTGAGGTATTTGTATACACTGATCAGGTCCCCTCTCAGCCTTCTCTTCTCCAGGCTGAACAGGCCCAGCTCCCTCAGCCTCTCCTCATAGGGCAGATGTTCCAGGCCCCTGATCATCCTTGTGGCCCTGCGCTGGACTCTCTCCAGCAGCTCCACATCCCTCTTGTACTGTGGAGCCCAGAACTGGACACAATACTCCAGATGTGGCCTCACCAGGGCTGAGTAGAGGGGCAGGATCACCTCCCTCAATCTGCTGGAGACGCTCTTAACGCACTCCAGGATCCCATTGGCCTTCTTGGCCACGAGGGCACACTGCTGCCTCATGGTCAACTTGTCGTCCACCACAATGTCCAGGTCTTTCTCTGCAGAGTTTCTCTCCAGAAGCCTGTACTCCTCCCAGCCTGTACTGGTGCATGGGCTTATTCCTCCTAGGTGCAGGACATTGGGAATCTGTGTTTAGAAGACAGCAGGGAATGCAGCAAGCAGATTCCTTGTGCTTGGGAAGTCAGAACAACAGTTCTCTCATATTTAATTCCTTGACTGTATTGCAGTGTTTCTGATGGCATCTAAGTCATGTCAAGGTTGGCGCAGTAAGCTCACTGCTCACCCTAGTGCCAATTTTTAAACACACCTATCGAATTCTCCAGGTGCATCCCCTCTGCCTGCACCATGCAGTCCCTCACGGCCCTTTTTGACATGTCTGTAAAGGGCCTTCTTCACTTGCCCTTGACTGTATCACCTATTCCATAAAAGCTTTCATATCCCCTACAACTGACGTTCTATCTTGCGATGAAAACCACGGTCTCATAGTGCTGGTACATAACAGGTAACCAGCCTGGGGGATCAGTCAGAGGGGGAATGAGAGGAGGAGGAGGGTGTTCATTGTCCTCAGAAGCTGTGGTGCCTTGTGTGGGGTGGTGGCAAATCAGGTGGACCAGAGCAACCTCTACTCGCACACAGTAGGTGTGCAATAACACAGCATATTTGTACTGCTGGTTTGTTTTCTTCTGTACCTACTGCTGCACATAAGCAAGCACATGCATCTCACCCGTCTTGCAGTGTATTTCACCTACCCAGTTGCCTGCAGGAGACTGCAGGTTTGTTGCATCTGTCACTCCACTTGATATATGCAACTTCATTTAGAAACAGGATTGAGAAAAATGCTAGATTGATGCCCTTTTCAACTGAAAGTGATCTTCTTTATAAAGAGTCAGTACAAACTGCTACCTACTGCAAAGTGCATACAGACACTTTGATCCTTGTAGACAAAAACATTTGTCCAGCAGCAGAACCAGCCAGGCAGCCACCATCCATCCCAAGCACCTCAACACTACAGGTGACTGCCTGCTTCTATGGCAGATGAAAGCCCTGCAAGATTTCCAGGGAGAACAGGAGTGAACAGAATAGCAATTAAGGCAGGAAACTCTAATCTTGCCATGTAGATCACACCTAAGTAATGGGGCCAGCTCAGCAGAGGCCCAGTCTGTTACAGAGAGCAGAGAGAGACACTCAGCCCACGATGGGCACGCAGGGGCTGGATGCCACCAGCCAGCAGTGACGGGAGCCTGAGCGCTCCTAAGCGGGCAGCGCGCGGCTGCGGGGCAGCCCACGTGAAGTCATGTTGCTTGGAGCCCCGCGTGCAGGGCGCTGCAGGGAGCTCTGCTTCACTTCCTGAAACAGGGTGTTCTGTGGTAAAGTCACAAGACACATGTTAGATTCTAAAGCCCTGTAGAATCTTCATCCAGAAACTTTAGAGATTTCATGCATTTTCTACAATTTGTCTGCTCCATTTCCTGCTATGGTCTCAGCCTTGTATCTCACATCTGTTACTCTAGATCTCAGGCAACTGGACACCCAGCATCACAAACGCTAAGAAAGCAAAGGAAATGGAACATCACTGTTGCTAAGAAATTCAGGTTTGGACTACACCAAATTCTAGGGAAAAGCACTTAGTTGTATTGTTATTTTATTTCTTAAACAAGATATATACTTTCTCTCATGCCTCCTACTTATGGACTGCTTTGAAATCACTCCTGATTTCAATTCTAGATGATGAGCCTTGGGCTGGACTGGAATCTTCTGAACATACTCCCAAGGACAGATAAGAGAAATAAAATAATTTCGTAGACAACTAATGCTGCCTTTGTATTTCATTAACAAAGCAAGTAGAAAAAAATTACTAGACTGCTCTGCCTCAAGCTCAGGTGAAGTGGACGGGTGATCCAGCATCTTGAATATGCTGAGTTCAGGCCTGAAGTTTTAAATGTTCCTTTACTTTCAAGAATTGGCTCAGACTTCGCAAATTGTGGAATACACTTTTTTTTTGCATATTTAGCATGCACCAAAAAAATCTGAAATACTTGCGTTATGTCTCAACAGCAAAAAAAAAATCCAATCTTCAGTGAAGATTACTCATGATAAAATATATACTATATGGTAGAGGTATGCATTGACTTAAATAGGCGTAGTTCAGTGAAATAATGACAGGGGTTGTATAAACACATGCTGTCTTAAGATGCTAATGGTATTAATGTGTGCTTAGAACTTCTAAGGAGAAGTGGTTTGTACATTTATTATCTTCAGTGGGCAATATGATGCATATTCCCATGGCAAACAGAAGCTGCCCCACAAGTTCACATGGGATTTCTTGCTTCTTGGGCTAAAATTACCAAGGAGGTAAAAAAAAAAGACAATCACTACAATCACTACATCCAAAACATTCACCTCAAGTTTGGTAAAGTTTCATCACAGTCTTCCAGCACTCCTTGTTAACAGAAACTCTTGCCTTAAAAACAACCCTAAACCCAGAAAAAAAAAATCATAATCTTATCAGAATACACAAGCGCGCACACACACACACAAGAAAAAAAAAAGGAACAGACTGCATTTCAGACAATAGGATATTACAACATTTAATTAAAGCAAGTTTTGACTGAAATTCATTTGCAGACCATGTTTAGTTCACAGATTGATTTTTTTTGTTCTTTTTTTTTCTTGTTTGTTTTCTCTTGTTCCTTTGAGGATAAAGATACTTCCATTCCAGAATAAGATACTAGACTCCAGAGTATGCAGAAGAGTATACACAGTGCTTTTAGTCTGACTTCTCAGATGTTTGGTCCTGAAAATCCTTACAACTTAAATAATGCATTTCTAATGCTGCAAAAACAAATGCAGTTAAGCTAGCCGTTTTGTTAGTTCACTCTGTCTTTCGCTGAAGATTGTTTTTCTCTGGCTGAAAAAAATGTTTTTCAAGAGCGTTGACCAATTCATCTAATTCCTTCTTCAGCTGCTCAACGTCACTAAGAAACAAAATCCACACAAATACAAAAAAAGTGTTACAACGGAGGAGCTAAAATCATACATTTTCAGTACAGGGGCAGTTCTAAATCCAATGTCTAATTTTAGACAAACATTTTCCACTAATGCCAAAAGCAATACACTTGATTTCTTAAAACCTCCTCATGGTTTCTTAAAGCCTCTGCATTGATGTTTACTTCTAACTGATGTGAATGGAGGCAGTTAAAACCATGGTCAAACACACCTACAGAATATAATCTACAATAGATGAATAGCCTGTTTGAGTTCAGAAGCTCTATTAAATTAATAATCAAGATAATAAATTAGTAACTTATATTTGTAATGTATTTTCAGGTGAATTTTCATCTATAAGAAAGCATTATAACCATTACAGCAATTAATAATTGCTCATCTTCCAGACATTGCAGACAACTGTTTAGACTTCCAAAGCCATCAATCAATGAAACAATGACTAAATGTAGTAAGGGTATATAATATATAGAACTATATGTAAAGTTTTACATTCAGTTTGAAGCAACTAGATTTATATAAAAATCTATATATATATATATACACACACACACACATATATATTTGAAATACAGAGAAAATTATCCCTGTCATTCAAGGTACTATCAAGAAAGGCATCTTGTTCTCACTGAAGGTAAAACCAATTTTAAACACATTTCAGTGACAGTAAGAATGATTCAATAAATTTTGCAGAAATAAAGCTTGCTTCATTCACAAAAGTATAAAAGTTATACTATTATTATTTGAGGACAGAGAGCTCTTCCTCCTGGAAGCAATAAAGAAAAAAACAAACCACAACACAACCGCTATTAGCCAAAACTTAATCCTACAAGTGACAATACCTGTTTCCAGGAGGTGCACAAAGTTCAGAATAGTATTTGATTTTTGGTTCTGTCCCACTGGTCCTCATAGTGGCTACTCCTCCATTAGCAAAAGTAAATGTTATCATTTGGCTACTTTTGCTAGTAGGAAGTATCTAGAAACAGAAGGAATCATTTTTTAAAAGTTGGAAAAGAGACCATGTGCAATGATTTGATGCAACCCATGATGTGACATCACATAACTGATACATCAGTTAAAAGTAAGTTTTGTTCTCATTTCTTCATCACTGTGGTCTTCTGAGCACAATAAAGCAAATGACAGTCTTACCCTCACTCTGGGATCTGGCTGTTCATTACTACTAGAGAGCTCATCTCAAGTCTAGTCAACATTCTGACTGCAAACAGAAAACGCTTTGAGAGGCTTCCTCAAGAACATAAGGAAACAGAGATCCTGGAAGACTAAAAAAATCCCAAGCCATATCTCAGCAGACAGCTTAGCTTTACACTTAGGACAAAATAATGCAAGACTGACTGTCAAACTAAGAAAGGAAATCTGTGGAAACTGTAGTCAACCGCACAGTCGTCCTTATGAACTTTTACGGGCTGCCATCTTGAACAAATCAACCTTGATTCCGCCCCCCAAGGCAAAACTGGCATCCCAAACTGGGCTCATTTTAAGATACTGCTTTGGATGTGATAGGTTTTATAGTGTTTCTCTGCATTTTTTTTAGATAAGTGCACATACTTTATTAAAACAACAACAACAACAAAATCTACTTACAGCCTTTTGATCTGGCTGGCTGCTGTCATAGCCGGTAGTTAGATCCCTTACACCAGAAACCTTAAATCTGCCACAGAATTTTGGGTAAGTATTTTTTCCCTCATAGTTTCGAAGATTCTCAAAAAGCTGTTCAATAATTTTAGGATCATGGCAGATGAAATATGAAGCTTTGGTAATGTGGAAGCCATACCTGCCAAGACACAATAATAATGAGTTAATGAAGAAAGCTTCTTATTAGAAGCTTTTGATATTATTGTGTATACCATACACAATATACATCTTTTTAAGAACAATGATCTATACTCATGATCACTCCACTTCAGCATAATTTTTCTCCCTCATCTTTTAAAAGGCCTCAGCACTTTAATTGCTCTGCTTTTATACACTCGAAAGTGTTTGTACAGAAATAATTATTTTTCAACTACTAAAAAAATTAAGTTTACTTTTACTTTACGTTTACCTTTTAACTAGGAGGAAAAAAAATCACTAATATGTTAATGGCATTTAACTACCATAGGAAGAGAACATAAGATAACTGGTTGGAGGGCAACTCATTTGTCTTCCTGTTTCCTGAACCCAAGTGCACTTCTGCCACATAGCACAGTCTGTGGCAATATTTATTGCAATAAGCAAAATTTATTTCTGTGTTAGGTTTTAGCATGTCTTTGCTGCTTTATTCCTTCTTAAACAACTGAAGGCACAAACAAGGAGGCAAACACCAAGGCTGGAGTTTTCCACAGGTCTTTTGCAGGTTCTACCACGTTAGTGACCCTGCTGACAGGAAAGGTGGAGGGACAGTGTGGACCTGACTGTGCTGCCTGCTCCTTCAAAACAAACCAAAACTCCACCAATCTCATCTTCCTCTCCAGGATGAAATCCATCTTCAGGTCTGTGAAGATATTAAACATCTCCCAGACAACAGGGAAAAGAAAAATAACAGTAGTGCCTCATATTAAGTACTCATGAGGACACCCAGCTGTATGCAGCCGAAAGTTATGCCCAGACACAGCAGTTCTGCTCTTGATATTCAAGAACGAAAGAGGAAGCAGCCAACATACCCTATCTATCTATCTATCTATCTATCTATCTATCTATCTATCTATCTATCTACCTACCTACCTACCTACCAATCAAACAAAAAACGTAGAATAATACAAAAAAAAAAGCCTGGCATTAACATAATTTTAGCAGTGTCTGATGAGAAGCAGCCTGGCACGCACGACAGAAGCAAGCTTGCTTTTATGGGTAGAATAAATTTGTCATTTACTTGGGGCCATTCTGCCCTTTGTTTCTGCATGTCCTGTATGTTTAGGCACCTGGAGGCACTCTGATGACTAGGGTTCAGGCACATTGCTGGCCAAAATAACAACCTTCTGTGCAGGGGGCAGACAGAGATGAGGTCAAGAGCACAACTTCTCAGGAAGAGAAAAACACCCTCCAGATAAACAGCAAAATTGTCAGTAACATATTTTTTTTTTAAAGGGGATAGGGGCGGGGGTGGTGGGGAATACCTTAAAATTTTCAGAATCAACTCAAATATATTCACGCCCATGAAACAGCACAGCTTTCTAGAATATCCCTGCTAACAGACTTCTGCACTTAATTTCTTCATATACTATAGGTTGCTACTGAGTCTTATTAACCACAGTATATGGAATGAAAAAAATCTAACATCAGACAATTATAATAATCAAACTCACTCACTCATCATAGACAGCTTTCAGCTGCTGGGTCAAAGACAAGTTCTTGGTTGCCAAATAGCTGGCCATCTCTGCAGCTATAACTGCAGCACTGACACCGTCTTTGTCCAGAACAGCAGGGCAGCACATATACCCTAAAGAAATAAAATTATTGAGTAGAAATTTGCATGAGGAAACTAGACAACGCACAGGAGAAAAAAAGTTAACCAAGCTAACATCTCTAGAAGAGGAAATACACATTTTCATGCTACAGATATTTTAGAATTAAACCAAAAATATTTCAATAAAGCCTGGGATTCAGAAAAATGTTATCTTCTGATCAATATTGTTTATTTCAATACTTTACAAAACAACATATTTAATACTTTTACAGCCTAGATAGAGATTTATGTCATCTTGGGGACATACATTTCTGAGTACTTTTGAAATTGCCATGAAAGACAGGAAAACCTGAAATTTTCTTTTTATTTCACTTTTAAGCTTAAAGTGTCAGCTTCACATACTCAATCCAAAATATAAAAGTGCTATTTTAAAAAGCAAACAAACAAACCAACAACCCAGTGTGTGCAGAATCTGTAGCCTGTCCACTTAGCAATGCTGTTGAAAATATATACAATATATACACTAAGCTTATATCACCCTATCTAGTGCTGAACAAATGCGTACACCTAGGAAGCCAGTAATATCAACCAGCCCAATGTATTATATGAATTTCAAATGCATCTTCTGTGATGAAGGGACCCTTTTTGCAGTTGTTCTACTTTCATTATTTTACAGGATATCAGAACTTAGGTATTTTTCCATCTTACCTATAGCCTCTTCAAATGCAAACAGAACAGCTTTCCCCTGATCCATAAGCTGTTTGGCACGGTTCCCCATCCACTTAAAACCTGTCAGAGTTTCCTAAAGCAACGTGAGAGAGGCAAAAGAAAAAGAGATGGGGAACAAGTATTTTAGAAACACGTAAGACATGGTAGAGAGAAGCCAAGAAATGAACACAGAGTAACATGCAACAGGTTACCTCGAAGTGGAAACCCTCCTTCAGTGCAATTGCTCTCAGGATTTTGGAAGAAACAGTACTGGATAACATGTAAACATCCTTAATGGCACAAGCATCCTGATTTTGATTTTTCCAACAAGTGAAGATCCACCAGCCTAAAAGAGCTCCCAGCTCATTTCCAGAAAACACTTTCCATTCACCACTAGGAAGAAAAAATAAATATATATATACATATAAATAAATATATTTTCAAAGTATAGTATTTTTACAAATACTTTTTCAAATACTTTACTTTTTTCAAAGCACAGTATCAAAATATAGTATATTTTATTCAAAGTATATTTCAAAATTCAAAGTATAGGGTATTGACAAAAAAAATCTTTCAAAATTCTTTCATACAAGAAAAATAACAAAGCCAGTGTATCTGAATTACAAATAAAAATAGCAAGTTACTCTGTTTTCTTATTATGAATAAAGAATCTCCTGGTCCAAAGAATTCTGAAGTGGTTACCTTCCTCCTCCATCATACTTATCAACTTACGAGTTAATCTAAAATGGCATTTCCAACATATTAAAAAACAAACAAAAACAAAACAACAACAAAAAAAAGAAAACATGGCAGCTACAAATTATAAAACAAAGGTTTAAGACAAACATTGAGATATGATAACACTGAGATGATACACTGAGATATGATAACACTGAGATAAACACTGAGATAATGATTAATTTTTTTACTCGGCCGACTGACAAATACTTTCAAAGATCATTGATCACATTTGATCACATTAATGTATATGTGATTAAATGAGAAGGATGGGAAAAGTGTCAGAAAGAAATATAAAAGTTGACTTAAGTTCCAATCTATTGACAGACCAAGGGAAACAGGGGAAGAGACAGAGAGATAGATGTCAAAATTGCGCAAAAACCCAGTTGGGAAAGGGAGCAAAGACATGACTGAACGGACAAAAATCAAGACCTACATAAACAGTACCTGGAGTGAAAGAGAAGCAGACTCAGTGTCCTGCACTTACTGATGCCAAGAGGCACAAAGTAACGCACAGCAACAATTTAGCTGAGAGACTGTGCTCTAGCAGGAGGTTCTGTCAAAGAAGAAGTATAGATACTGTAGAAGCCTATATTAATATTCTGATTAGTGTACAAACAGCTTCAGCCAAGTTAGACAGGAGGACATGGATCCTAAAGTTAGGGGAGAATTAAGGCTGGCTAAACAATTAGGTAGGAGAATGAGAAGACCATTTTGCCTCCATGCCAATTTTCTTTTGCCAAATGGAACATTTTTCTGAGTGGCTAACATCACCTTTCTAATAAATGCAGGACTGCTTATATTCTTATGCTTTTCCATTTGTCAGTGTGCTAGCAGACACTAAATTCTGATCTTGATTAAAGTTATCTGATTGAGAACTTCAAAAAACAAGGTCTTGCCACAGTAATTGTGGCTTAGACTGGCACATGCCAAAAACTCCAATGAAGATATTTTGCCTAATACTGCTAGTCTTCAAAGGCAGAGCAGAAAGAATTCCAATTTGACTTCTCTTTTTCTACAGGCAGAAAAGCCTCTTTGGTTCAGACAATGAGAATACAGAGTCAACTCTCCAACCCCACTCTCTGAAATTCCTGCAGGACCAAAACAGGCTATTTGGTGAGGAAAAAGACACATGTGCTTTCTCTTTTTCAATGGAGTTTTAGAATTTGCACGGCTCATTTACAAGCAAATATCTCATGAGTGATCACTGTGCCCATCTCATGGCACAGGTACCTAGGAGGGCTTCCAGAGAGGTACCTCTCTGCCTGCTCTCAAACAAAATGATTCATTCACATGTTTTCTGTTCCTTCTGCTCTGTGCATTCTGATCTATTCATTGAGGGCCTGAAGTTTACTTTTGTTAAAGATTATATCTTATATCACTTCAGATTACTATCTGCCTTTTTAAGCCAGGTGAAAAAGAAGCACCAGATCTGCACATAATGGCAGCTTATTTTGCAAAAAATATAACACTATCCAGAAATACAAATGATTTGCAGACACACGATATTAAACAGCATGAAGTAAGGGCATGACAATACTAAGCCAAACTTACAGGTCACACATATAAGCATATGACAAACCTAAGAAGTTCCTGTTCCAGAAGGTTTGCCTGTTACTATCCCATTCTTTAATAGGGTACACATAGTTCAAGGCATCGGCTACGGACCTTTTAGTGAAAAGCAGAGAACAGATGTCTATCCTGAGAAATAGGAACACTGACAAAATGTAAGGTGAATTGCAGGTACATATTGTTTTGTGAAGAGAAGGTGAGAGAGAGGTCCAAATCAGCTAATGCCTCATCTAATATGACAATAAAGTACAGTATTTAGTCTGTAACGGTATGAGAAATAAAGGGTTCATATAACAAATGATTTCCACTTGTCCTGAAGCCATCATGAAACTATAAAGGCTCTGTAGAATATTCATATACTGTTCTTTAATAAACACCATATCAAAACGGTTTTCACTCTGTGGAAAAATTCCATTTGCAAAAAAAAATCAATCTTTAGGAAGGTAAACAGAATCATAATAATTCACATGCTACTGTGCATACCTCAAGTGCAGCAAACATCAAATATTTATTCAGGCTTCCATGCATTGTCTAAAATTAATTCCTTTTTAACTTACTGTCTCCCATGGTGTATTTTGTACCATCCTTTCACGTGTCTCTGTACTATTAGTCCAAAAAGAACTACTGTGATTGTTCGTTTTATCTTCCTATGCAACACTGGTAACAAAAGTTCCCCAAATTAGTTTGGCTTTTAAGTCCAATACTTACGGGTTTTATTTTGTTATTTTCATACCTTTCTTGTTTCTCTGCCACTGCAAGTCGATCAGCATCAGGATCATTCGCTAAAACGATTTTTGCCCCATCTTTCTCAGCCAACGCAAAAGATAATGTCTGGAAACATGGTAAGCAATGCCACAAGAGCATTAATTCAACTAGATTTCAAATAATTTATTCTATTTCATCTTGAACACACAAAATCATTATGGCTGTCTCAATATAACTTCATTTATGTTTCAGCAATTCACGGATATAAACCTGGCAGCCATACAAACTGAGGATTTTTAATTTTACCTACACTATTCTGTTTTTCCAGCCAGACTTAAAAGCTAGTTAGATTATAACAGGATGCTTCAAGAACAATTGGTTGTACCTGCTAAAGCTTTTTCCACCCCCATTTTAAAACAATTTAGTCTTCATATCTTAGATGTAATTTGCTAAAACATTTCAAAAATGACTGTGAAGATGCACTATCTTAAAATAAAAAATAAGGAATCCTCTCCCAAAATAGTCTAAACCCACTTCATTCTATGAATGGATGATGCACATTCCATTACAAAGTACAATTTTAAATTATAGCTAATTATTACCTAACTGGTTCACAAAGATTTATAAATTTCAATGAAAGAATACCAGCTAACTCTTTGACAAGGATATGAAAAGAGAAATAAAATATACTTCTATCAACATTCACAGCCATGATTGTTAGCAGAATGGAAACACTTTGACAGAAATTCTAACTATAAAAGATATTTATTTACTTACCAGAACACCCTTGCCTTCTTCAGGATTTGGATACTTCACCGTGGGAAATTCTGGATCAGGATCCTTCTGCTCCGGGACAGCAAAAGGAGGGCTAAGGTCAAATGCCTTGAAGGCCAATTGCACAAATTTATGGCCTACACCATGCACTGAAGTATGAACAAATTTCAGCTTTGTTTCCTTGTTTATATTCCTGAAATCAAGCAGATTAATAGGACACTTAATTTTGCAGAATATTCTATATACCATTTCACCCTTTCAGCATTCGACAGTCCTGTTAAAGTTATGAAAATATATAAGGCTGTTTTATTAAAACCCGTGGCTTAAAAAACGATTTCAGCCTCCTCTCTCAGCTCTATAAATCACTGTGGTTCACACGTGCCAGGATATTAGATAAGACAGCTCCTCTCTCAGCTCTATAAATCACTGTATATATTCAAGTGGTTTACACGTGCCAGGATATTAGATAAGACAAATTTCCATGGGCTCTGCTCAACAGACTCCAAGGGAGGCCAATGGAGAACAAATGCAATGGAATAGTGAGGCTCTTCACCCCCAACTTCGGCATTTACACTAATTCCAAAGACAGAACAGGGTGAACTTCTAACACCAAGCCTGAAATATATTCATTTTTGTGAGGTACCATTACTAGAAAAGAAGTGCAAAAAATAGAGACACAAAGTCATTCAGACTCCTTAAAAGACTTTAAACTCATATTCTGAAAAAGCAGCATCATTTTTGTCATAACCCTGGTCTTCTAGTAACAACTGATTCCAAAGTTTTTAGCAAAAGAGCAAGAACACGGTTACTGATGGTTAAAATCTTGGTTTAAATGAGCAAATCCAACAAGTTGCTGCTCATCTAATCCACAGTTAGCAAGCTCACACATAGCTCATGAAGGGAAACATCCACTCTAATTTATTGAGTAAGATTTTGCTAAATAAATAACAGAAATCAGCTTGTGCAAGGATAAGAGGCACACACCCAAAACCACAATGACAGAGCAAAAGCTCCACTTTTCAGAATCATCTCAATAGCCTGACTCACCTTATCATTCTAAAGCTCATTTTAAAGAGAAGATTCTACAATATTAATTCAGGAAAGTCACATTCCCAGCTCACCCTCAGCTGCACAAGATTTGCCATAGCAAGACTGAAGGCCTCTTTGATGCAGTCATGCTAATACAGCGAGATGATATTACAAAAAGCAAATTTTATTTTGCTGGGTTATATTTCTCCTAAACTAACTTTATGAACCAA